AAATCAGTGGTTTAGTTTCTATTCATCTATATGTAATATGTGTATACTATTAATCTCAAGTGGTTTTGCTTTGTCATGATGCTTATTTTTATCATTAGCGTATTCTAATTACTACAACAATGGACAACTTCTGATTTTTAAACTGTTTTGTGCTTTACACTTGAGAAAAAAATTTTAATTCAAGAGTTACAATAAAATATATAGAAATCGCAATATTTTTAAATAATTTTTCTTATAGATTACATATACATGTGTTATCATTTATAGGTTAGAACGTCCAAATTATTTTCCTTACAATAAAGTACTTTAGATTATAAATGGTCATTATTCACAGTTATTTTAAAGAATGTTTAAAAATTAGCAAAGCAAAACCACTACAGAATTATTTAATTAAAATACTTAAAAACACTGATTATTCTAAAAAAAGTAAATGTGGTTACAAGTTACATGATTTACATATAATATCTTTAGGTACAAAAAAAAAATAACTCTTTTAATAAAAATAAATTACTTCAAAATTAAATTGATCTTAGTAATGATTCTTTCAGAAAATTTATCATTAAATATTAAATTAAAATAGTTAATACTTAATACAGACTAAAGCACAAGAGGGGGAGGGATATAAAAGACTTTACACGCGGTACTAGTATAGTACGAATACAGTAACCGTACGATAAACTAAATTACAAAAACCTTCAGTACACCATACTATTATCGTACTCGTATTATACGAGCATAAGCATACTGGTACGACATATTAGTACAGTACCTGTTACCGTGCGAAGGTAGATGGCGAGTACAGTACCAGTACGACTAATACGCCATAGTCGTATTGTACATGCATCATACTAGTACGCTGGTTATCTGGGTGAATATTAAAAAATTCATTTGAAACCAGAATTATTAAATTTTTATTTAAAGTCAAATATATGTTAGAAATTATTAAATTTAATTAAATATTTAAATAATAAAAATTAATTAATTTGATAACCTTATTTTAAATAAAACAAAAAAGACCCGAATTCACAATATAAGGTTAAAATCACTTAAAGTTTTTATTTTTTATTTAAATAGTTTAATTCTTTTAATAATATGTTGTTAACCCTAGTAAAAAAAGTATTGAGTGGAGCGTTTAGGAATTGAGTGAAGCTCTGAGCCAATACGGATTCGAGTAAAAACCTTATTGGGACGTTGCGTCAGCGACTAAATGGGACCTTCACCCCACAAAATTTAAAGCCATTAGGTAGTTCCGTGGGTTGAAGAAAAGTCTAGAATAAGACGGGAGTGGTTTTTAGAGAATCGACCAGAACAAGATACGAAATAATTTTAAATAATGAAAGATAGTTAATTTACTCGAACAGATGAAAATTAAATTATAATTAGTTGCAAATAAGATGAAAACCATCTTCTTTGCCCTACTGATTTATACATACTTTTAGGTATAACTTCCTTGCAACAATGCATGAACAACGACGACGTTAGCATCTGTAATCGCACACAACCATAATATTTATTAAGCAAAATACACTCTTGTAAAACAAATATTATTAGAACCCGAAACAAAATTATGACAGATAAAATGTGTCAATTTTGAGTATTCTGAATTCCTGAACTTGCCTGTATCTTACTTAAAGACCCTAATCAGTAAATTCTGAATATGAATAGCTCGACAGAGTGACTATATTTAACCCTCTGCTGACGCTTACTTATCCCCACTCTATCGCCAAAGAACGTAACTCCCATAGTCCCCACCAGGCGTCCAGAATGACGATTTTTGACGATAACGGTCGTTAGCATCAGCAGAGAGTTAAATAAGAATATTTCTTATAAGTCGAACGCCGAAGATATAAATTTTTTTAGTTTACCGCAAATTATTACACCAAATGTCTATTATCCCTGTTGGCATCCGCGATCCCGGACAACTTAAGGAACTAAGTTTCTTCTAAACTAGGGAGGCCTGACGTTATTATAAAAAAAATTATGTAGTTTCCCTTTTTAAATGACAAATCCCTTCAATTTTTATCCACCCTTACTTTTGTCTAAGCATGTTTAGTCAGCAAGTCACGAATCTACGTACCGATCGATTACATAATTTCTGATCTGCGGACTGTTTTGTAATTTTATTTAGCCGAGTAAAAAATAATTGATATAATTTCTCATATTAAATACAAAAATTTAATCTAAATAATAGTGTTTTTTTTATCCGTCACACATGTACATGTAAATATATTTGATCTTGTTTGTGAACTTCTACAGAAATTAAAATATTTCAGGTTTTTGTTAAAAAAAATTTATTTTTATGTTTTAACCCTCGGAGCACATGCAGAGTCTGTGTAACTTTGTCTTTTAGTTCAAACTGGAATTTCTTTTAAAAAGATTGTAACAATTGAAGGTCCTGTGACCTAAAAGTATTTCTGTTAGGTTCTAGTAACACGTTCTAATGTTCCTCGAGTATAGTGCTCCAGTAAGTTGTCGCCTACATCTCGTTAAAAGAACCACCTTCATCAACTTGCAAAAAAATCCTTTTTTTAAAAATTACAGTATAGAATTTATTTTTATTTTATGGTACTACTATTCAAGAATGCAAATGTAAAACATTAGTTAAAAATATTAAAAATTACAAGAACTTCAAGTATAGAAACTTATTCTTAAATGTTTAAAGAATATTAAACAGTTCTTTTATGTAAATTTAATGATACATTTTTAAATGGTAAAGTTTTGAAAAGTGAATAGGATCTGAGTGACCCTAAGTGTGCTTCTTGTTCGAAATAGAGGTATGTGCTCCGAGGGTTAAAAACAGAATAAGGTACGGTATTTCCAATTAAGCTTACTTACCAGTGGCGTAGGCATTTTGCAAAATGCCTAGGCAAATCGGGAAATACCTAAAATCTTAGGTATTACTCGAATTTCCTGGACATTCTTAGGTATTTTCTGAATTGCCTAGGCATGTTCGTAAATTTCCTAGGCATTTCACGAAATACCGAAGTCGATTTTGTCAAATTGAAAAATTTATTAAAACTTTAATTCTAAACATATATTTTTTGCTGGTTATTTGTTGCAGCATGTCGAACTTATAGGATTTTGCCGTAGATTACGAATCTGTAAGTGAAATTGTCCCATCACGTCTCAATTTTGAACAAAACGATGTCAAAGTGTCAAAATATGCCATTTTTTGTGTTTTTTGAAGCACTATAAAAAAAAGAACGCGACGTGATAGAAAGCTCAAATATGTTTTAAATGAGAGCTCGAACCCTCAACTTTAACATCCAAAAGCAAAAAACCATATAGAAATAACTTAAAATTGTGGGGAACAATTTTTTACCGCGTGCGCGCCCAACAGCTATTATTTTAGTCAGCGATCATATAGGGTAAATTAATAAAAAGTTGTTCCTCACAATTTTGAGTTATTTCTACATGGTTCTTTGCTTTTGGATGTTAAAGTTCAGGGTTCGAGCTCTCATTTAAGACATATTTGAGCTTTCTATCACGTCGCTTTCTTTTTTATAGTGCTTAAAAAAGTGCTAAAAATGGCATATTTTGACACTTTGAAACTGTTTTTCTCCTCAAAATAGAGACGTATTCTTGTAGCAAAATTTTGTCGAACAGTGTAATAGACTAATAATTTTGTCAACAATATGTTTACATTAGTATGCTGCTTACAATGATCAACTTTTCATTTTGCCTAAAATTTCTAGGTAAAACTCGAATTTCCTGGCCACTTTTAGGTATTTCCCGATTTGCCTAGGCATTTCGCAAAATGACTGGACTTCTGGTTTTACCAGTAACACATATATATATATATATATATATATAGCTTTGCCCCTCCGGAAAATAATAATTCGTTCCTACGCAGCTGTTCCTTATATTGGTATATTTACTCTAATACTAATTATAAACGTACGGGATATTTTTTTAAAGAAAGAACTTATATCCAATGTGGCAAGTTCCTAAAAATCCACCCGCATAGAATACTGATATGTGACCTGGTTTAGAAAAAGAGGGGTTACGTTTTTCCTATCTATATAGAATTTGAGAAGCTCTTTATTCACATAGCAAAAACTAGAAAGTTATAAGTTGAAGCTCTCACCGACAGATTAGCTCGGTCGGATAAATGCCTGGCTCGGTGGGCGGACCAAGAGTACTTGGTTCGCGCCCATTAGCCTGGGATTTTTCCGGCACGTAAGATAATCTAAGCGGGAGGTTTGACGTCGAGGTATAATGATGTGCACTGTCGATTATTGTCCAGTACACACCGTTAAAACTCGGCTGTCGATAAACCGGTTGTACTCAGGAGAGGTTTTCTACACTTTCCCTCTTCTCTGGCGAGAAAACCCATTGACGGGTGGTCCTGGCAAATGCGAGTACTCCTAACCTCAAAAAGTCGTTCTGTAGAAACGCAAAAGTAGTTGGTATATAAGAGTGTGTGTTCTGACAGTTGGCCTAGCTTCAAGTCATTTAAGAAGAAAAAAAAAAGTTGAAACTCTCAATTCAAGAATCGGACGGACGCTCGAACCGTAAGCGCTAATACCAGTCAGGTAGCAGTGAATGGCCCAGAGGCGCTCACTGCTCACTGACTGGTATAAACGCGTGCGTCCGCACCGGTTCTTGAATTGGGAGCCTCAGTTGTAATTGTTGTTAAAAATGAAGAGAAAAAAGAATAAACATACGAAAGAAACTGATTTTTCTACATCGATAGAACATGTATAAACTTTTTAAAAATTCAACGAGTAAAATCTCGAAATAATGAATTTAATGGGAATCCATTAAATTTTCAAACAAAATCTTTGGAATAATAGATCCACTATTACAAATTTTACAAATCTGGTATCGAATTCCTAAAAGCCTCCGATTAATAAATTATCAAAATAATAATTGACGAGAACTGACAAAACTTAGTTATTTAACGTTAACAGCAATTTTCTCAAAAACTTCTATTAGCACGTAAACCCCCTTTTTCCAGATTATGTCACATATTATAAAGAAAAAGGAATAAATTTTACTTGAATTAGTAAAGAACTGATGGCTATAACATTTAAACCCACTGAACAAAATAGAAGTGGCGAAAAGCAAGAGTTCAGTATCTTTGAATATCTAAAAAATAATTTGTAATTATTCTTATGTTATCTTATTATACGTCATTTATTTATTATATTAATTTACAACTTACTGAATTGCATGGTTGTGGCATTTAATACAAGATGTCAACTGTTTATAATAAGTATCATCTATTATGTTATAGTTTTTTTCCTTATTCGAAAGCATCATTGCGCTATTTAACTTATAACTAATCGGAAACAAAAAATAATTTTGAATGTTTTTATTTTAGGATTATTAATAAATAGGTAGGGTAGAGTGGGGTAAAAAAGCCATTTGAGTTTTATTTAAAAACTATTAAGCCGACTTATCAGCTGTTTAGAATATAAATACTATTAGGTAATACGCAACTTTTGAATCTAGTTTGAATGTTGTACCTAGATTAATATTGTTTTTATTGTAATTTTAATTTTTTGTTGCTTTTTTGAAAACATTTTGGTGAACTTTTCAAACATATTACAGTCTGATTAAGTGAACGAATAATAAAAATAAATGTTTGTACATAAGGAGAAAAGTATACCGAAAACGTATACAATGTTAATTTTTGGAAATTGAACTGAATTAAAAATTTATTTTTGCTTTTTTAATAACTGGTCTTGGGTGTAAAAAAGCCAGGGCAAAAAATCCATTGAATATTTTGTGAAATTCACTTGTTTTCTATTTAAACTAACCTTATTATTTTACAAAATTTCTCGTGTTTATTTAATAAAATTAATTAAACACGACGAAAAAGTAGTTCAAAGTGCATTCAAAAAATAAACAATGGATAAACGGTTGCAACGAAATATGTTATCTGTGGTGAAACTTAAAGAGAACCTTTAAAAAAGGTACGAAAAATTGGCAGTGCAAATCGAAAACAGGTAAACTTAATATAATTTTCAATTTTCCTTGCTAAAAACTCTTTCATAATTATTAAAATATTTTTTAAATAAGACTATTTGTCATATAAATAAAGGAAAACTATAAAAATACCTAAATTGATAACATGTTTTGCTAAAATCGTAAGGTGGCTTCTTCACCCCACCAGGTGGTGCAAAAAAGCCACTTACAGTGCTTTCGTAAAACTCTTATAACTTAGTCCTTTCATGAGATAAAAAATATTTCCGTCAAGAATTTTCAAGCTTAATAACTAAACTTTCAATAACAATTGGAAATTTGAGAAAAAAATTTTAAATACAGATTTTACAGCATCAAAAGTAAAAATGTGGCTTTTTTACCCCACTCTACCCTAAATTCTTATAGCAATGAAAATTTTTCTAAATTAGCTTTTTCACCTTATAATTTTAAACAAACCACAAACATGCTGTGTTGTGACTACTAACATTGACTCGCAACTAAACATTACTGTCAAATTGTATAAAGCAGTAATAGAGCCATGGACCAATAGCCAAGGTAAATATTTCTCTTCATCCAAAGGAAATTTTGCTGCATAAACTAACTCCCTTGGACGAGTTTCATTTAAGGGAATAAAATAGTCAAAAACAATTGGTGTTAATGACATTAATATGAAAGTTAATGCTGAGCCATACATATTTACTAGAAAAAATAATTTTTTAATAATAAATAATAGTCTTCAAGCCAAGAGAAAACAGTAAAAATGAGATTTTAACGTGTAAACACTACTTTCAAAAGACAGATACAGGATCTTTTACGATAGGGATGTCTCTGGGTAAAAGTGAATGTTAAACTGTACTGTATGTTCCAGATTGCTTTAAATGGGAAATACTCTCTTATGGAGGCATGATAGTTACTTTGGGCCTTCTTGATAAAAAATTGTTTTTTTCAGACAAATTTATGTTTATTGTTATTGACAATTATATGAACAATAATTAATATTGAGAGTTAACAAAAATATTTTTGTTTGAAAATAAAATTTTTAGTTTTAATCTTTATGGGACTAAGAAAAAAAAAGACCTTTTATGGACGGACGAAGCACCCGGGTACCAATGTTTAATTTGTTCAATATTTCTTATAGATATTGTTATTTCACTATAGTAACTAAATTACATATTTTATAAAAAAAATTATGTGCAGTACTATTAACATTGTTTAATAAAAATTTTCATAATTTTTTAATAGAATTTTCTATACATTTATCTGCTTGAAATATATAGAGGTACCAGGGTACCTTGTCCGCCTTTAATGGGGGAAAAAACTTTGTTTATTATTTCCGAATAAATAAATAAAAAATGTGCGTTATAAGTAATATAAAAAAACACTTTGAGTCAAAACGCGTCAACCGTGAATACATTTTTTTATAGTTTTGGAAAAGTCAAAACATTTATGAAAATCTGTAGTTCACAGCAAACCAAAAAAACACTTTTAACCGTTTTTCAAAATTTTAAATATTTATACCTTTTTTTATAATAAAAAATTTTTGCATTATTTAAGAAAAAAATTAATAACTCATTACTGTTTTGCTAGAAATTAATGGCAATTTTTTTGGTAGTCATTGAATATCCACTCTTTGAAATAAACTTAATTGTGAAAAAAAATTTTGAAAAATTTTTAATTTTTAATAACAATTTTTTAAACAATTAGTGTTTTTTATGCTTTCTAGAGCAAGGATTTTAATGAAATTTATATGTAAGATACATTAAACCTACATCTTTATATTCCCAAAAAAAAAATTGTATTTCCAATTACAACCGGAGATTTTGAATTTTTGGTTGCGCCGTGCGCCGTCTGCTCGTTTACCGCGGCATTTATCACAGCGATGGATGCCGCGGTGACGGCGCACGGCACAACAAAAAATTCAAAATCTCCGGTTGTAATTGGAAATACAAATTTTTTTTTTCAGGAATATAAAGATGTAGGTTTAATGTATCTTACATATAAATTTCATTAAAATCCTTGCTCTAGAAAGCATAAAAAACACTAATTGTTTATAAAATTGTTATTAAAAATTAAAAATTTTTCAAATTTTTTTTTCACAATTAAGTTTATTTAAAAGAGTGGATATTCAATGACTACCAAAAAAATTGCCATTAATATTTAGCAAAACAGTAATGAGTTATTAATTTTTTTCTTAAATAATGCAAAAAATTCACCATTCACGGGTGACGCGTTTTGACTCTTTGTATGGATAAATTTTAGATGTCAAGAAACCCTTAGGTCGATACGATTTTAAAAATTATGAAAAAAATCCATTTGAAAATGCAAAAGGTACCCAGGTACCTCGTCAGTCCCATAAAAGTTAAATGATCCGTTTGAGAAATTCTGACCCTAATAAAATTGAAGGATAAGCTGATGTGTTTTGATCAGTAATTTTAATGATGACATATGCAGACCCAATTGAGAATGATTCGTTCAGAATTTCTTAAGAATTTGTTTAGAATTCGTGTGAGGTTTGGAAACAATTTTCGTTTGAATTCCAGTCCAAAAAGCGTATACACAATTAATAAAAAAAAATTTCTCAAGCAAATCCGAATAGCAAATCCGAATAGCAAATTCTTCCTGTAATAACTAGGATTTTTTTTGTAAAAATTCCACTAGGAATTCGTTAATAATTATAATAATTTTCGATCACTTTTGCAAATGAATTTTTGTGAATTTATAACGAATTTTTTTATAATTTTGTAAAAATTCAGTTGTCAATTCAATAGTAATTCCGCACGTAATATTCGATGTAAATTTTTTATAAATACACGCTTAACCGAGACCGCCAAACTGTGTCTACCTCTTAAACTTACAACATTAATAATATATATTAATAAAATTGTATTATTACTAGCAAATAAAACTGTAAGACGTCTTCCATGTACTGCACCCTTTTGCAAAATTGATCGTTCTATTTTAGACGTCAACAAATTCCAATCGTTCTCCATATGCTTGACAAGATTCCGCAACTACAGTATTAGTAGATTTTGTAGTAATTATATGAAATTTACAAATAATATAAAAAATTTTATTATTATAATAAATAAAAAAAATGTTTGTACCTTGTCTTGTTTGAGTGTGAATATCCCAAGTTGACAATAGGATAGAAAAACAAATAGGATAGGTGGAAGACACTCAAATATTGCATTAGCATTGCCAACAACCGAAAAGAGAAAGTTAAACTAATGGGTTTAAGATAGTTTTTCAATATACAAAGATCATTTGAAAATTTATGTTTTTGATTATAATAAAGGTTAGCACATTTGCGGTAATTTTGTGAGAATAATGTCTCGGCAATATCTCAGAGGTATAATCATAAACAGGTATTAAGTTTTTTGGTACTGTCCTCTAATAATTTTTATATTAAAAAGTATATTCAACCAGAAAAATCAGTATCGAAGAAAACCTGTTTTTACTGAATTAACCATGATCAATTTTACCTTACCTGCACTTTTTTTCTTGCAGAATTAATGAGAATTTTTATAAATTGTGTAAAAATGTAATGAAAAATACAATTTTTTTATAATTATAATAACAATAACCTAATATTTATTCTAATATACAAAGCATAAATAATAAGTATCACAGCAAATAAAGTTTTGAAAAATAATATTTTATCTCAATTTTGGTTAATTTTGTAATACACGCAGAAAAAAGGTTGGATTATACATCCAATTTTTATTGGATAGAAGAAAATTAGCTTTTATATCTAACTAACCCTTTCGTGCCCCCGGGGAATCAAGCGGTTGGATTTGCTTCCAAATTGGTACTTGGGGGTTTTCGGGGTCGCTGATTACGAATCCTATGTCAGTTTTAAAAAATTCAAAATGGCGGATCCAATATGGCGGACAAGATTTTAAAAAAATGCTTGACTTTGCTTCAATATTGCTACTCGGGGGTTTTTCGCGTCGCTGATTACGAATCAGATGTCAGTTTTTCAAAATTCAAAATGGCAGATCCAATATGGCGGACAATATTTTTAAAAATTGCTTGAATTTGCGTCAATATTGTTACTTGGGGGTTTTCGGGGTCGTTGATTGCGAATCAGAAGTCAGATTTAAAAAATTTTCAAAATGGCGGATTCAATATGGCGGACAAGATTTAAAAAAATTGCTTGAATTTGTTTCAATATTGTTACTTGGGGGTTTTCGGGGTCGCTGATTACGAATCCGATGTCAGTTTTATAAAATTCAAAATGTCTGATCCAATATGGCGGACGAGGTTTTCAAAGATTTGTTTGAATTTGCATTAAAAAACGTTACTTGGGAGTTTTAAGGGCCGCTGATTACGAATCAGACGTCAGATTTAAAAAAAATTTTAAATTGAAAATAGCGGATTTAATATGGCGGACAAGATTTTTAAAATTACTTCTATTTGCTTCAAAACTGCTACTCAGGGGTTTTTGGAGTCGCTGATAACGAATCTGATGTCAGTTTAAGTTTTATTGATAAAATAGTAGAAAAAATCTTTCATGCTCAATTTTGTAGAGAATATGTTTTTGAATCCACAAAAAATTGCCAAATGAAAAAATTAATTTTCATAATTTTTGAAGCATTTTTAATAAAATTCTTTATTTGTACGATTGTTATTCTATTCTGGTGTATCGAAATTCATTTGTATAAGTTTGTAACTAATTTCAGATCATATTTTTATTCTAAATTTTTTGTATATTTTATTTTTTATTTAAAAATTAGGATCTGAAATTAATAATAAAATAAAAAGTTTATTTTTAGTAATAAAAATAAACGAATGAATTTTCATATAAAAAAATTGAACAATAATGGTATTTTTTAGTATTTTCTGCCTACAAACGAAGATTTTTATTGGAAAAAATATGCTTCAAACATTAGGAAAATGAATTTTTTCATTTGGCAATTTTTTTGCGTTTTGAAAAACATGTAGGGGAGGATGGGGCAAGGATACTTAGTGGCTGTATTGATTAAACGGCTTGTTCAAATTAGCGCGTCATTCATGATATTTTCGCGTCTTAACACCAAAAGATGATACTAAAAATTGGAATTTCCTGCTGAACACGAATATCATATTTATTTTCAATTAAATTCACGTCGTTTCACAAAAAATTAGAAATAATTAAAAGATGGGCTACTTTTTCCTCACGGGGCAAGGATAATTAGAGCTAATATGGCACTGTGCAATCCTACTAATGCGACTGTAAATTATAAAAAAATGTTTAATTGTTCTTTTTAGGCTGATATACAGATTAGTGCGTAATTATATACGGAAAACAAAGCTTATTGACCAAGAAATTGGCAGTTGTCTAAAGAAAATTAGTTAAAACTGAGATTCAAGTTCAGACGAATTTTAATGTAAGAATTAAAATTCAGAAAATGTTCAAAACATATTGTTAATACTTCAGATATCAATATTGAATAGTCTAAATCGAATAAAATAAAGAGAACGAAAATCTACTGATTTTAAAGCAAATAGAAGCAATTTTTTGAAATCTTGTCCGCCATATTGGATCCGCCATTTTGAAAATTTTTTAAATCTGACTTCTGATTCGCAATTAACGACCCTGAAAACCCCCAAGTAACAATATTGACGCAAATTCAAGCAATTTTTTTAAATCTTGTCCGCCATATTTGATCCGCCATTTTGAATTTTGAAAAACTGACATCGGATTCGTAATCAATGACCCCGATAATCCCTGAGTATCAATTTGGAAGCAATTTTGATGAAATTTAAAAAAATGTTGAAATTTGTTTAAAAATTTGTCGGCCATATTAGATCCACCATTTTGAAATATTTAAATCTGACTTAAGATTCGTAATCAACGACCCCAAAAATATAAAAAAACGAAGTGTTGTTAAAAATTATTCACTAAATGTTAATGAAATGTATAGTTTGTAACATAACTGTTTTTTTTAAAACAGTCAATGTTTATTCTATTGTTTAAAATAAATATTACAACTTTTTGTAATTTACTATTTTTTTAATTGTAACCACATACATTGGGAATAGAAAGCAATTTAGCGCTAATTAATTGGTTAATTTTTATAAGAATTGCATAAAATTTTCTAAGTGGGACATATATGTCTCGGAGGCACGAAAGGGTTAAAATCATATATGAACAAATGGCGTTGGTCCCAGTGACAATTTTAAATGTATACTTATGATTAGTCATTATATCTGTTTAGTTGGATACGGTTTCCAACGTGTTAGATGTAGCAGCCAACTGAAATTTGTAAGTTCCGATTCCTATAATGCGTATGCGCTGTCAAGATGTTGCGACTCGATTCCAACATTTTCGTGCATGAACTGTCAAGACGAAAATACTATAATGGACGAAAACACGATAAATTTTTTTAAAATAATAGCGTTAACAAACTGTGAACATTTAATAACATTGTTAAATGTTTGTTAATTTTAAAGTCAAAAAATCATAAAGAGAATTAACTCTCAGTTATAACTAATGATATTTAAGTCTTAATTATGTCTAAAACATGCAATAACAATTACTTTTGGTTTTACAGAATACAAAAATGCTTTTCAATCAAGATGAAACGATCACAATTTAAATTTTTGGTCTAACATGGAATATTTGAAAAATTTGTAGTTTCTTTAAAACAAAACGAAAATACATTTTCTATTTTGGGTTTTTCTGCTGTTTTTCAACACTTTCTAATGGTGTAAACAAATGTAGAGAAAAAAAATTTAGACCTTGAAAAATTAAATTAAAAAATAAAATTTCATTTTTTCATCAAATGGACAGTTTTAATTTTTTTAAAAAAAATTTTATCATAAAGGTGAGGTTTTTTCCTAAAAAAAATGTATAGGTCAAAACGTGGGACAAGAACTTTTAACTGGTCAAAATAAACATCTTTTTTCTCTACATTTGTTCACACTATTAGAAAGTGTTGAAAAACAGCAGCAAAACCCAAAATAGAAAACGTATTTTCGTTTTGTTTTAAAGAAACTACAAATTTTTCAAATATTCCATGTAAATTTTTGACCTGGGTCACTTGACGTGGAACCCGTCATTTATGTAACATAAAAAAGGTAAAATTAAATAAACAAATAATTTTATTAATATTCATGTGTAAATTTAATTAAATATGTAAAATATAAATAGTTATTTCACTATTAGAAATTAGTTGCATTATCCAAGTTAAAAGTAGTGATAACAAAAAAATAGACAGTTTACAAAACAAATTGGCCCCCTAGCCATCAGAATTGGATAGTATATCCAACATCTAAGGATCCAATTAAATTGGTTGTCCTGTCCAACTAAATAGATCGCGCTCCAGACACTATCTAAAATAGCTGGGGTATACAAAACATACTATACTGTATATAACTATTTTTCTGCGTGTAGGTAGCTTTTTAATTAATTTTAATATATTTCTTATAGTTAAAGTAACAATTTTGTTAATAAACTTGAACAGAATTAGTTTTGCTTATTTCACTAAGCAGACATTCATTTTTACTACTATGTTTAGTTCGATCGACAAAAAAAATTGAATGCTTTTTTGTAATCTTTATTTAATATTTATTTGTCCCAACTCAAATTTTCTTATATTACTAAATGCAAAGTACAACCCACTATAACTTTTCTCTCCGTGTGATGACGTTTTTAATATCCTTTTATATTTTTTGTAATATGTATAATCCAAGAAAGATTAAAACATAATGACATTTTACATTAGAAATAATTATATAATAGAAATTATATATGTAATCAGTTTTAAATATAGAATGTAGGGGAGGATGGGGAAAGGATAGTTAGGTAAGACGTTTTCGGATCTAGCGGCCAAACCTGAATATGTATCTGCAAACGAGTAGAATTTTTGGAAAGCCTGGTTATTTGGCCTGACCTTGCAAATGGTGGCAGATTGACTTCCAATCTTTATTATCATCTATTGGTATGAAGACGCGAACATATCATGAATTACGCGCTTTTTGAACAAGCCATTTAAGTATGACAGCAACTAACTATCCTTGCCCCATTCTCCCCTATACATTTCCTTAAATGTTTTTTGACTAGTGCCATTACCCTACTTTAATCTTGTAGAAAATGCTGAAGATATTTTGCAAGAATATAAAAAAGTTTTCAAGAACTATATACATAAACCGAAAGACATAAAAATCTCAGAAATTTAGAAAATTAAAAATTATATTACAAAAAATGTTTTCAATAATTACTTTATAGAATATGAATACACATTATACTTAAACGTTAAAAACCAAATAAATTGAGTTGTGACAACAAACATTTTCCTATATGGTATTTGAAGCATGTTTAAGCCAAAGTTAGTTCAAATTTTTTTATATTTGTATTGAAAAGCTTAGCAAAAAGATGAAAATGATTTTTCACCTAATTTTGTATTTTAACTTAAATAACAAATATACACCAAAAATAATCTGTATTGTATTATTAAATATGAACCTATAATTAATCTTAAACTAGTAAAATTAATAAGAATTCCTAATAATAGTCCAGGATTTAAAGTTAAGCTATTTAATAATATTAGTTAATTCTTTTAGACTTTTTTGATTAGGCTTCAATATAAATCGTCAAAATTTTCACACACGTGGTGACAACATTTTTTTTAATATTTTAATCAGTGTATTTAAACGTCTACCGTTGCAATAATTTGTGTATTTAAATTTATTTTTATATTTAAATGTCACAAATAATATAAAATTAGTAGTTTTTGACAAGCAGATAAAATTGTGCACTTTAATTATATAAAACATCATCTGATTAAGTATTGTATTTTGACTGAAAAATCTAATAGTATCTACTAAAAATGAAAATACAAAGTGCGTATTTAGTGTAGTGGTTATTATCATTCCGGGTTTGAAAGTGTGTATTCGTTAGGTTCAGGTGTTCCCGTGCCCCCAACGTTAAATATTTATTTCATAAGTTTAAATTAATTTTAAGGTATATAAATACAAAGTCAGTTATAAATATGTTCAATATAAAAATTAATTATTTTTTTAATTATATTTACTTTTTGTCTTTTATCGGATAATATTAATTTGATTAGGAATTTCAAATAATTTTGATACACAGTCTAGATCTAATATTATTATCCTAGTCAATTTGTCTATTTTTCCTGGTTGCATTGACTAATTTTTCTGTTAACTTTAACTATGCTTGAATCTTATTACTTTGACTAGGATTCTATAATGGGTTGCTCTCGTAACTAGGAAACATAGTCAACTCCTGATATACAGGTCCTAGGCATTTTTTCGATGCAAAACTTTCGACATAAACAATGTTGAGGCAATATTTTCACAAGATTAAGCTCAAATGTTGTGCTTTTTGGGAATAATTGATTCTTCTTATAAAATATTTTATAGAGATGAAAAGCAAAATAAGTAGTATGTAGCATTGAAATTTTCATAAAAGATACAGCTGTATTAAAAAAAATGATTACTATAAAATACCTGAGGAATAATTGCAGTTGTAAGTGATGTCAAAACTAAAATTCTAGTCAAGATTTTCATTTTTACTGTCTGATAAACCCATTGTCCTATTACAAAGAGTGCGATTTTGTTGACTCTAAAATAAGGACTCTCATATAGGTCCATCGAAGTAACAAAAACCGAAAAATGATACAAAGAGATAATGTGTAAATAAGGTGAAATAATAAATCAATAAAAAAACATTTATGTGAATTAACGTGAAATATTATCATGTATTATCTTTTCTACTGTTGTATAAAATAATGTTTGAGAAAATATATCTTATAACGGAAATAAACTTCTTAGAAAGAACTGCAAATAACATTGTCGATTACATTATTTCGAAGAATGAAAAAAGAATTCATCGAGTAAATCTATAATGGAAAAAAATTGATGTATGATACCTTTTACAATATAAAGAATTTATTTCCCTCGCGATAATAGACAAAAAATTGATTTTCTTATCGTTAAATTTAGTTATAAGATAATGTTCTATAATTAGGCGTTCTTCCTTCCCAGTAAAAAAAGAAGTATTGAGTGAAGCGTTTAGGAATTGAGTGAAGCTCTGAGCCAATACGGATTCGAGTAAAAACCGTATTGGGACGTTTGACTCAATCTTTTTTTCATCTGCCGAATACGGTCTTATTTTAGCATTAAAATTAAAATCACATGAGCAGAGTACACATTATAAATTGAAAGCACAATTGTCCTGGAATGTGAAAATGCCGATTTAGATAAAAAACTGTGAATATTTTTTATTTTTTGTTAAAAATTGGTAAAAGCAAAGTTTGACAAGCGCAACTGAATTTACCATGTGAATAAATGAAGTGGTAAGTTTAAATGGACGAAATGGACTAAAAGAAATCTACTTTTACCGACAGAAAGTTCCTAGAGAATTGTGGTAAATTCAACAAAACAATGAAATTTCATTGTTTTCTAGGAACTTTTTGTCGGTAACAGAAGATTTATTTTAGTCCATTTAAACTTGCCACTTCATTTATTCACATGGTAAAATCAGTCGCGCTTGTCAAAATTTGCTTTTACCAATTTTTAACAAAAAATAAAAAATATTCACAGTTTCTTATCTAAATTGGCATTTTTACATTCCAGGACAATTGTGCTTTCAATTTATAATGTGTAACTCTGCTCATGTGATTTTAATTTTAATGCTAAAATAAGACCGTATTCGGCGGATGAAAAAAAGATTGAGTCAAACGTCCCAATACGGTTTTTACTCGAATCCGTATTGGCTCAGAGCTTCACTCAATTCCTAAACGCTCCACTCAATACTTCTTTTTTTTACTGGGTTGTAAACAATTCGCGGAAAATAATTATTTGTTTTCTAATTTCAATGAGTATGGATTAAAAATACTAGTAAGAAAGTTTTCATTTTGTTGCTGTTGTTATATCATTGAAGAATTATAATTACAAAAATCCTCAAATTCGATTTTTAAAGAAATCCTATTTTTTGATTTTAATAATTAAAAAATTTCGTCTTTATAAAATGTTATTCCATGTGACTGTGCTTATACTTTATACTTATTAGGGTGGTTCTTTTTTTAGAAAAGTTGGAGTTTTATAACTTTTCCATTTCTTAAAAATTTGACTTGTAACTATGTATTTTTATAATTTTTAGTACTCCGGAAACGAATATGATGTCAAAAATAACTTTTTACAGCTACCGGTTGTCAAAAAAGATATCAAAATTCTGTTCAATTTTGAAAAATAAGAATTTTCACGACTTTTACATCAACTTTCAGAAGTATAGAGGTTTGTTGTTAAATTTTCAGTTTATATCCAACATTTCAATACATTTTGACAGTTGAGAGCTGTCAAATGAGTTGTTAACTTCTATAAAGTCCAGTTTTCGGATATACTTCCGAATAAGGGGCGCAAATTTGATGTTCATGTTGAAAACCATAAAATTGTGGTTTATTGCGTATAATTCGTAAAAGACGCAAAATTTTAAAAAACTTTTTAAACAAAAGACGGGGTACCAGCCCTATTTAACAAACGAATTAACCAATCGCGATTATATTTTACATAATACTGCACCGAGACGATAGTTTCTTGTTTACAAAACCTAAAAGCCATGAGAACAAATCGTTTATCTGTTTTACTAAAAAAACTGTTTTCGACGATTTTGTTGTGATTTTTTCACTTTTTTATAAGGTGTTTATTATTTAATAATAAAAGTTAATGAACTGTATAAATTTTTTTCTAAATGGCAAGGGTTACAGAAGAAGGGAAGCATATGTTTATTTTCTTTGTTGAATCGTAAATTGTAGTAATTAACCTTTTTCTTTAATTTCGTAGGTGGGGGCAAGATGGGGTAGGAGAGAGTGGGGCAAGACGGGGTACACAAATTAAGCAAAAGAAAAGAGAAATAAGAGAAGTTAAGAAAACTACTTAAATCAAGACTGAATAAAATAAGAGTGACCAAAAAGAAAAAAGCTTGTCAGGTTAAATCATCAATTAGCGATGGTAAAGTGAAAAATACACCTTGTCTCTATTGTATTAGTTATTATTTAGACTCAAATGAAGGCTGGGCTGCTTGTTCTGCCTGTGGCCAATGGGCTCTCTGCAGTTGTGCTGGTGCAGACGACGAAGATCAAGATGCAACCTTCACTTGTAAAATTTGTCGACAGAAATAGGTTGTTTTTTAGTACCTTATCTTACCATTTACGGTACCCCATCTTGCCCGCCGGTGGGGCAAGATGGGGAGATTTGAAATTTTTTCAATATTATTAATTTAAAGCTTTTTTAAGAAACAGATGGCCTTTGTACGCCTTTTTTACGAAAGACTGATTCACAAAGATGATAATTAAAAATAATAATAAAGTATATAATTATTTGATAATTTTCGCTTTTTGCACTTTAAACCTTAAGTCCCCCATCTTGCCCCACTCTCCCCTATAACTTTTTTTAATTTTTTTTTTAAATTTTGCGTTTTTTATGATTTATACTCAAAAAACCACTATTATATGGGTTTTTTATGGTTTGTTACCATGAACATTAAATTTGCACCAATTTTCAGTATTATTTTCGTGATCAGAGCATCAAAATACGTAAATAAACTATATTTTGTTAAAATTGGATGTTCTTTTGAGCGAAAGTATTTGTTAACCCGTTTTTATAGTATTTTATGGTTTTTTACATTTTTCTCCGAAAATAATAGATTTTAGCAAATAATGATAAGACCATTAAATGTTTATTTTAGTGAGATCTATAACTTTTGTTTAAAAAGTTTTTAAAAATTTTGCGCTTTTTACGAACTATACGCAAAAAACCACAATTTTATGATTTTTTATGGTTTTCACCATGAACATCAAATTTGCGCCAATTTTTATTATCATTTTCGTAATCAGCGCATCAAAATACGTTGGTATACCAAGTTTTATTAAAATCGGAGGTCCCACTTATTCGGAAGTAAACCACCCCATTATTTTCTAATTTTTTGAAAATTTAATTATCTAACCTATAAAATTTACATTTGTTTTTTATTTTGTATAATAACATAAGTAATTATATATTTAATTATATAAACTATCCACCTGTCTCGGTATGATAATAATTGTCCATTTTTTTGGTTAAGCTCTGTAGTTCAATAAACTGTTATCTATAATTTCCGAAATCTCTCTTGTTAAAAAAAGGGAGACTACCAATATTCTTTTCATGTAGCGATGTTAATACTGTGAAATGTTGAAGAGGCGTGCTATCGTAATCATTAAATTATTTTAAATAATTAATTGTTCTTTCGTAAACAAACAACGCGTTTCGACTATTTGAACATTCGACTACTTTACCATTCTACTGCTTGACAATTCGAACAAATGGCGTTTCGACTATTTGAGCATTCGACGAACTGACAATTCGATGTTCTGAGTATTCTACGATTTGATAATTCGATGTTTTTAGCATTCGACGTTTTGAGAATTCGACGAATTGAAAATTCGATGACTTGAGCATTCGATGAATTAACAATTCGATAATGTATTGAGTATTCGACGAATTGACGATTCGATGTTTTTATCATTCGACTAAATGACGATTCGATGTTTTTAGCAGCTTCTGTCTTACAATAAAGAAAGATAAGAATAGTTACTAATTCAGTAATCATGTGTAATTGTTTTGTTTAAATAATTAGCACGATTTTAATTTAATAATGTTATTTTTTTAAAACTTTAAGGTTTTTATCGCAGATTGATTGTCATCGGAAATGTTTACAACGAAATTATCGGATATTTGTAATTCAATTAGTAAGTTTCTTAACCAGCAAGCTTCACTTATGCATTGACTGAGTGACACGTACTCAGCTTCGCATGAGAATAGTGTTACTATCGGTTGTTTCTTTGACTTCTACATTATCGTATTTTCAAAGATTTGAAAACAATAACCGCTTGTGGACTTTATGTCTAATTTGTTTGACCCCTAGTCTGCATCAGCGTAGCCTGTTAGTATATTATCGTTAACGTCTGATTTACATGTTAAATTTAAATCAACAGTTCCTTTAATGTATCTTAATATTCTTTTTAATTGAACCCATAAATTATTATTTGCACACGTTTAAAATCGAGAAAGAAATGTGATACTCGCACACAAGTCTGGCCTAGTACCAATTATAGCATACATTATCGAACCAATTAGTTACTTACTTTTTTGTATCTGCTCTGCAAATCTGAATCAGCGAAATTTCACTGATTCTCAGCGATAAGTATGCCACTATTTTCAAACAGCGTATATGCGCTAATTAACTAGTGAAATTTCACTGATTATTTAGTTAAATTTCACTAATTCACAGCGCATATACGGTAATTGAAATAGTGGCATACTTATTACTGATTCAGATTTAGAGAGTGTGTAATAGTATACACACTGATCATTAACTCGAGGCTTTCCGTCAATATAGCATTTATTCGAACGCCAGTGCAATAAAGCGTTAATTCAGAAAATTGTGCTATATGGTGTCTATTCAATTGTTTGTGTAATATAATCTCATTTCATGTTGAGTTCATTAAAGGGTAAATTTAATTTTTAATTCCATATGACAGATCTTCAATATTTTTCATTTTTCGATAATATTTTGTAAAAAATTTACAATTAATTGATAAAATTATATTGCACAATTGTTTGAATATAAGCATCATATGGACTTTTAAAAATTAAATTAACCCTTTTTTTAAAACAATGT